ACCAAAAATCGTCCATACTAGAGTGTGCGTACGTTTTAGTATTTGCGGCCTAGCCGGACCGTTTTTCTTTTTTTGCCTCAGGTAGGCTGAGCCGCTGACGTCGTCAATCATCCGTATCTGCCTGCACGAAATTTGGTGGCGAACTGCTGAAAACCACGATGCTTAGCGAACCACGAGGCGAAAATTAATCTCGACTAAATAGTATCGTCAGACAGCAATCCTGCATTTGGGGTCGTATCACACTGATTATGGACGTTGGCGCGCTTGCCTTCTCAGCTGTGATAACTAGTTTTTATCTGTCCGTCTCTCTTTTGATAGGGGAGGGTAATTTCAGCGGCCTGTGTTAAATCTCTACCTGACATGCTTGTACGTGCGAGCGGCGTGAATGCGCGCTCATACCGATCGGCCATCGTTCGGGCCACTGACGCCAGAGCTGCTCTTTGTGTCCGGATTTCTCCTCTAATGCCTGCTGCGACGCAATCCGCCCTGGTTTTGGCCATTCCAGCGAATGGCACATCGTCGGTATGTCCGCGTGGCCTCACTCACTGTCGCACCGGCTGCAGGCCAATGTGGGCCACTCGTTCGAACTTCCACCATCGAACCCACTTCTCAGCTGTCCAAAATACAGGCCATACCCTCAGCCCGTTCCATCTGGATTCTGATTTGTAACTACTATCTACGCAATCAAGCGGAGTGATGGCCCCATATTCCCTTCTATCAACATTTGTCGGAAACGCGACACCGACGCGAGTGCTTAACTTTACTCTACTTGAATTGCTTCCGTGGGCATCCTCGTCAAGGATACGTAAGACCGGTCTGAGGCCAGAAACGGTCCTACTTCGCAGTGTCTCCCAGCTCGCTTTTTGCACGGACGGAGTCTCGTGCACTTTTTTGCCCGAGCGCCTCCAGTGGATTCTTGCTTACCATCCTCAGCCTATTCGCCTTAGGCTTGTTGTCTTCGTATCTAGCGTTCGACCATCGTTAGCTGGAGAATACCGACTACAATGTCCGGCGCAGATCATTCGAATGACAAATGCGGTCTGGTAGTATCAGTTGCCTAGAGGAAGCCTTATGTGCCTGCCTTGGTTTGAACTCGTCAGTCATATTCTCCTCTGTAGAATGATATTACCGACAAAGACAAGGGAGACTGGAGTGGCCATTTCTGGCTTATTATCCGTCATCAGCCAGTCATACCCAACCCCGAAGTGTGGCACACCCGAGGCTGCTGGTTGGGCTTGAGAGAGAGTCCATGAAGCACAACGGAACGAGTGAGTTCCGTAAGAACGATCAGTGAGCGTCCCCTACCATTCTCCTCTGTCCTTAACAGTCTGTAAATCTGAAGTCATCATTCAGCGACTGGTGATCCCTTTAGAAACAAGGCTGCGTCTCCAATGGTATAGGGTGTCCAAGCGAAGTCGCAAATAATGTCACAGAAACAGGACTGAAATGACCTGTGGTTCCTTAGAGCTGGACGGTTCGGCATTTTCGGCTCAAGCCGTCAGCCGCCCAGTTATCCTCTTAAAATGTCGGAACGGGACTGTGTGATTAGGCTCGGAAATGTTCGATATGGGAAGAAGAGAGTATGTTGGCTGTCGTGAACTCTGGCCCCTGGGCTGTGTCGTGGTGTTCCTAGCCCCCAGCGCATTGTGTCTGCTCTTTCCTAGTTGGAGACCCCATCGCGTCGTGTTCCGCTAGGGCGTTCGAGTGGGAGTTTTATCCTTCGCTTGGTATAGCTATCACAGAAGCGCAGGCCGAGAGTGAGACCCCGGCTATTACGACCTTCAGGCCCAGTCCAGAGTGGACGCCAGTTAGGAGGATTGTTGATTCCGCACAGAATAACCGGAAAAGGCGTTGAGGAGAGTTAGCAGCCAGACCGAAGTTTGAGTGGAAAGGCCAAACGGGGGAAGAATAGATAGATTGAGTGCAGTCTAAACGTACCAACGGTATTGTTATCCAGATTGGAAAAGTTTAGAGATCCGGGAAGATTATTATTAGAAGAAAATTGGCTCTCCGGAACAGGTTTATTTAACTGCTGACGTTTCAAAGAGCTGGGTCGGCTCTTCATTGTCAAAGCGTATACTGCACCTAATCGATCAGAAAGTTAACTTAAAGTGGCACGCTGTGTTGGCCGGCCTCATGCTGATCGATTTTTCTCTCTCCTCACGCTGCGTCGGCCTCTCAGGAAATGGTTGACGGGCGTTTTTGCCTGTGCGCTTTATGAGTCACCACTCCGTCGAGGGGAGCTGATTGGACTTTAGTCGGGCGGTCGGTCTGGCGGTTCTTGTTCTTCCTCACCGAGTAAGCTCAGCGTCGGGCTATCTCCGTGCTGTCTTCTTAAGTCCGGTGTGGTTGTTTGGTCCTGAGCTCTACGGTTGTGATGACGTAGGACTTTGTAAGCTGCAGGAAGGTCCAGATGCCTGTTGATAGAGTGGGCATCGGAGAACCACGCCTCGAGAGTTAGCCGTTCTGTTTTTGTGTTGTCTCGGCCTAAGATGGTAGCCCTCTGGAGGTCAAAAGTATGCCCCGTTTCCCCAACGTGTGTTGCTAGTTGAGAGTTAGGGTCTAACCTCCGAGTGACCGATTTGTGTTCTTGTAGGCGAGTTTGCAATTTCCGCCCAGTTTCGCCCACATAGTTACAGTCACCCTCATTGCAATTTATTTTAAGGATGACTGCTGAGGTTTCAGCGGGTGGCAATGGGTCTTTAGGTTGCATCAGGCGACGTCGGATTGTTGCTTGTGGTCGATGGTCTATGCCTACTCTGGTGGGTTGTAACAGTCGCGAGACCGCTTCAGAGACCCCTTTAACGTAAGGAATGGCCCTCCAGACTTCGGGTTGCTGCTCATTTGGCCGTTGTCTGGGCGCCCAACGTCTGCTTCTCTCGATGAAATGCCTGGGATAACCATTGGCTGCAAATAGGTCCACAAGGTACGATCGTTCGGCCCTTTTATCTTCTGGTGTGCTGCAGTGTGTTTCGACTCTTTGGAATAGAGTGCGGACACAACTACGTTTGTGAGACAGTGGATGGTTGCTGTTGAAGTGTAGGATCTGTCTCGTGTCGGTGGATTTTCGGAATACTGTAGTTTGCAGCTGTCCAGTGGTACACCGGCGCACAAGTACGTCAAGGAAGGGCAGTTGGTTGTTTGTCTCCGCTTCCATCGTAAATTGTATATCCGGGTCAACCGAGTTCAGTAGTCCCTTTAGGTGTTCTATGTCAGTTGTTTTGACAACGACGAAGGTGTCATCGACATAGCGGGCCCAGAACTTTGGTTGATATTTGGTGAACACCAAGCGTTCTACCCGTTGAAGGACTACTTCAGCAATTAGGCCTGATATAGGGGAGCCCATAGGAGTGCCCTTTATTTGTTCGTACATTTGTCCGTCGAAAGTGAAATAGGTCTTGAGACAATATCGCAGAAGCTCGAGCAGATGCTCAGACTTCAGAGGTCTATCTCTCTCCTCATAACGCTCTGCCAGTAGTTGGTCCACAACATCTATCGCTAGTTGCTGTGGGATGGAGGTGAAGAGCGAAACGACATCAAAGGATACCATGGACTCGTCTGGCTCTAACCTCAGATGTTTTATGCGTTCGAGGAATTGATACGCAGATGCAACTGTTGTTGGTGAGCCTTCGGCCAAAAACTTAAGACGACCGAACATCCATTTTGCCAAACCGTACGTCGGAGTGCCACGAAGGGATACGATTGGCCTGAGTGGGACATTTGCCTTGTGTACCTTCGGTAGACCGTAAAAACGAGCCGTGGCGGTGTCAGTGGGTTTCATGGAGACACAGTCGTTGGGTGTAATCGCCCCCTTGGCTTGGTATTGTTATCAGCTTAGACTGGCGGGAAGGGGGCAGGATAACAGGGGCGGCTACAGAAGGTCGGTGGTGCAGAGGTTGATTTGGACGTCGGCGGCAGATCCGTACGCCGTTTCGATATTTGTGGGACTGAGTGAGGAGATATCGCTGGTAGTAAGGGAAGTTAGTGGATGCTGGAAGGACGCCCGGATTCTAACACTGACTGTGGGACTGCTCTGGTGGATGAGATTGGAACCATGGCCGGGATTCGATGGACTGAGTTCGCTTGATGGCACCCGGCTTGTTTCGCAACAGGAATGTGCCTAAGTGTTTTAAGCCACAGCACGCCAGACTCTGCCTTGGATCTGATTGTTCGGTTGGAAATCCGAGTGGGCGAATGTCATACAGCCCTGTTGCGCACAGTCAGGCACTTGCGAGGGACGCAGCCTTGCGACAGACGCTCGGAGTAGGGCCACTGCATAGTCTGCCCTCTTTCATCGCAGGGCCACAAACCTTGAGCTGCCGCATGCACATCCTCGCGCTGGCATCTGTCTAGCGACTTGTAAATTTCGGTCGGTGTGCATGTGCCTTTAACTACAATTCTGTCCATCGACCCAAGGCATCCATGCCTAGCGCGGTTGTGTAGAATCAAAGACCGATTAAGCCCCGGGGGCAATCGGTCATAATGTCTCATATCCCGTGCCTAACCTGCTTTTGTTGTTATACGGGTCAGGCTAGACGCATGCTCTGATGGCGTATACACGAACGCGAGTTGGCTGTGCGACGGAGTGACGAATAATCGCAAGTAGCTGCTCACGCCTTCGAAAGGGGTCGTGAGTTCAACTTCGCAGGTGCCACGCCCACTCCGGAAATAATGCTCGCCGAAAATCCATTATAGCCTGAGC